TCTTAAAGGTCTTTTCTATGCTTTTTCACCTTTCCTTTTGGATAAAAGAAAAGTCAGTGGCAAATCTTGCTCACCGCAACATTTGCGATAAAACGCAAAACACCCAAGTCAGTTCTCCCACCGTATCACAATCTTGATACCAAGAATCACACTCGCTTCTTTGAGGTCTTTCATATCAAAGTTACTGCACAACAATGATTTCATATCATTAACGACCTGAATATTTGATCCAAATATGAGTAGATCATCTACATATAGACATATAATAGTGCAAATGTGATTCTCAAATTTGTAATAAACACATTTGTCACTTTCATTCACTTTGTACCCATTCGATATCATTATGTTATCAAACATTCCATGCCATTGCTTTGGATCTTGTTTTAGCCCATACAAAGACGTATCTAACTTACAGACCTTGTTTTCTTAACCCAAGAATTTCAAACCCTTCTGGTTGGTCCATATAGATTTCTTCTTCTAAGTCATCGTTTAAAAAAGCTATTTTAACATTCATTTGGTGTACTATTAAGTTATAAATATCGACTATTGAAATTAGTATCCTAATGGATATAGTAGGAGTGGTTGGGAAAAAGTAAAAATCTATATTTTCTCTTTTCCTAAAACCTTTGGCTACAAGGAAAGCCTTGTACTTATCAATGGTTCCATCAGGTTTTAGTTTCTTTTTTCAAAATCCATTTACAACTGACTGGTTTGCAATCAGGAGACAAGTCTACTAAGTGGCAAGTCTTGTTAGATTCTAGAGATTCTATCTCATCATTAATAGCTACTTGCCATAAATCTGCATCTAGAGATGACAAGACTTCTTGAAGATTTATTGGATCTTTATCTATATTATAAGTTGCATAATCAGACCCATAGTCTTTAGTAACTCTTACACTTTTACTTCGTCGAAGTTCAGTTTCTACTTCGTTGTTGCTTTTAGTGTTTCTTATCACAGGAATATGTTTCGATTCAGTTCCCCCACTATTTCTCGATTTGAAAGGAAATTTATCTTCATAGAATTCAACATCATTTGATTCTATGATCACTTTAGCATTTAGGTCTTAAAACCTATATGGCTTATTGTTTGATGCATATCCAATGAATACGCATTCATAGCCTCTACTAGTGAGTTTAACGCGCTTCGGATCCGAAATTCTGACATAAACCAAATAGCCTCAAGTTCTTAAATAAGACAAGTTTGATTATCTTTTCTTTAATATCTCATAAGGTGAGATCTTACTTTTTACTTGGAAACTCGATTCAGGACATAGCAAACAGTCAACAAAATTCCTCCACCAGTGAGGTGCAACCCTAGAATTCAACATAATTGCAACAACAAGTTCAATAAGAGTTCTATTCTTTCTTTTTGCTTTGCCATTCATTTCAAGAAATTATGGTGCATTCGTTTCATGTATAACTCCGCGTTTTTTATTTATAAAATTCATTAAATAAACTAGAATCATATAGTTTTTCTATCACTACAGAGTCTCTTAATCTTCTTACTAAATTGATTCTAAATTTCAGTTACATACATCTTAAACATATCAAGCGCTTCCCTTTTATTCTTCATTAAGTATACATAAGTAAAATCAGAGCAATTGTCAACAAAATTGATAAAATAACGTTTACCATTTGTAGTTAAAGTTCCATCTAATTTACTTCTTTGCTACAACTTCAATGTCATGCTTTTTTTTCAGAGCCTCGTAAACATGTTTTAAAGTATCACAATTATTGTAATAATCGTACAGATCGTTTGCAAGTCCATTCAGAATGTTATAGTCATTCTCTTTCTATAAGAAGATTTTTTCCTTTAGCTGTAAATCTTCCGCTTTAATCTATGTTGTAAATTCATATTCATTAAAATTAACAATTTAATCTGAGTTCATAGATTTCTTTCTATTCGTTTGTTCGACTGATCCAAATGGAATAGTAGGAATGTCATCAATCAAAATATTGACAACCTTCTTTATGATTAAGAAAAATCTCACTTTTGTTGCCAATGTTTGAAATGCATTCCTTCAAACTAGAACGGTTTGTCCGAGACAATCTTGGAAGTATCGATAATTTCCTCAGTAGCCATGGTAGTTTGAAACATCTTAAAATTGTTGTTTTGCGTTTTGAAAATCTTGCCACAAAAAAAATTACCGGGTTGAGTCGCAGATCATTTCGCTCTCTTTAAAAAATTTTGCGACACTGCCCAAAATTATGCAAAGTAGTCAATCTACCACGCTGCCTCCAGGATAAAACAATCCAGTTTTATACTGTAGGATTACTACTTGCATAATAGATAATCGGTATGGAAATACACCCTCTGATTGTACTAAGACTATTCCATTATGTTATAAATACCACCGTAGTATCCGGTATAACAACTGATCGTAATGATTTCTCAAACCAAGATAATTCATTAATGATCATTTGACCACTCAAAATGATTTCTCAAACAAAGAGAAATTAACATTATTCTCAAAAGAGAATTCAAAAAGTACTCAAAAAATTCAACGAGTAGAAAGAAAGGGGAAGAAATTGACGCTTCGACAATTCGAAATACGCAGAGTTATGAGAGTGAAGAAGGAAAAACTCAAGACAAATTTTTAAATTTCTTCTCCTTGTGCTTCTAGATGTGCCTTCATGCGAATTTTTCAGAAGTCAAAATATTCACCACAAAATAGAGGAGGCTTGTTGTTACTACCACTATCTCTGAAAACGAGATTTTGATTTGCGGAAGCCATTCTAGATCTTTTAGGAGCAGGTTACCTATAACCTGCTCTGATACCAATTGTAAGTACGAAGTGCGCCTAAGAGAAGGGAGGGGGTGAATTAGGTACTTTAAAAATTCTGGTTTTTAGTGATGATGGTTCTTATTTTTCTGGTTAAAAGTGAGTTTAGGAAAGCTTAAAAATGCAGAAAAATAAAGATACACGGGCAATATATCCTGGTTTCCCTCACAGTCCGAGAGTACTCCAGTCCCCTTTCAACATGAAAGAGATTTCCTTATTGTGGCAAACTTAAATAAGAACTACCAAACTACCAAGAACAATCCTCTTGGATTTTCACTATGTCAACTATGAGAACAATCCTCTCAAAGTGACTACCAAACTAGAACGGTTTGTCTGAGACAATCTTGGAAGTACCGATCATTTCTTCAGTAGCCATGGTAGTTTGAAACGTCTTAAAATTGTTGTTTTGCATTTTGAAAATCTTGCCATAAATTTTTTTTTACCGGGTTGAGTAGCGGATCATTTCGCTCTCTTTAAGATATTTTGCGACACTACCCAAAATTATGCAAAGTAGTCAATCTACCACGCTGTCTCCAGGATAAAATAATTCAGTTCTATATTGTAGGATTACTACTTGTATAATAGATAATCGGTCTGGAAATACACCCTCTGATTGTACTAAGACCATTCCATTATGTTATAAATACCACCGTAGTATCCGGTATAACAACTGATCGTAATGATTTCTCAAACCAAGATAATTCATTAATGATCATTTGACCACTCAAAATGATTTCTCAAACAAAGAGAAATTAACATTATTCTCAAAAGAGAATTCAAAAAGTACTCAAAAAATTCAACGAGTAGAAAGAAAGGGGAAGAAATTGACGCTTCGACAATTTGAAATACGCAGAATTATGAGAGTGAGGAAAGAAAAACTCAAAACAAATTTTTGGTGTGTTTTGGAATGAAACAAGTGATTTCCTTATATAATAAAGTGAACTAGTTAATATTTCTCACATAAGAAATATGAGACTAAATGATTTTTTCAACCACAAAAAAAATTCTAACAATATGAGATTTAAGAAATTTTTAAATTCAACATATTGAAACGCAAAGATATTTCAATAGTTGATTCCAAGTGTAACGATGCTTTAGGTGAATTGTTTTTTTATTTATTTTTAGATTGTGTATCTCCTTTATTTGCCATTTCAGTTGTGCTTATCTGTGTTGTACTGACATGGTCATCTTTATTTTCGTAATGGCTTCAGGCATGCCTTATGCCTTTGCTTAGTGCTATGTTTTTGCTTTTTCAAAAAAAATATCACATATATGCTCATGAATTGCTGTAATTTATATACTTGACAGTTTTTGAGGAGTTGAAAAAAAACGACTTTCGAAAGATGACGTAAAAAAGAAAACTAGATAAATCTTTTTAATATTGATTCTTACAAAAGTTGATGGCGTATAAGTGAGAGACGTTAACAAATCTCTCACGTGAAATTCAATTTTATTTTATTTTTACTTTTTAATCATTTAGCGGTGTTTTTAAACCGTCACAAAATTTTAGAATTTTTTTGCAACAAATTGATTTGAAACCAAAAAAAATATTCGGAATTTTATGACAGTTTAAAACCATCACTAAATAAATTCGGAAATTATGTTCGTCCACAAAATGATTAAAAGTAAAAAGAAAAAGACTGAAATTTACGTGAGAGACTTACTGTAAACAGAGCCGCAAAAGTTGATCTAACTAACAAGAGTTTAGAGAAAGCTTGGTGGTTGCTTTACCATACATATGAATGAATTGTAGAGGGGGAAACGAGTTTCTAAAAGATAAAAAATTAATGAAGTACTTTTCAAAATTTTCATTTTGGAAGTGTTGGTAACGCTTGATAACACAGTCCCTTTCACTTCAATTGAAAATGGAAAAAGAGTTTTTGTCCGATTCAAAATGATGTTTCTTCTCAAGCAAGTCACCTGAATAATGAGATTGGATATTCAAGCCCTGTTGCTTCTACCCAAAATGTGGCTCCAATTGTTGAGCTTAACCATGTTTCAGTACATACCAATATCCCCCTCCTCTGCAGTTAGGTATTACCCGTATTCATGCAATAGATATATTACTCGTTATTTGATCAAGATCAGACGATATTTTGAATTATGAAATAAAATTTTAAGTATGTAATTTTTTAGACCGTCTCATATTGATCAAACTACCACCGATATTTTGATTGCGTGAGTGTGAGACCCCTTACCAAATTTCATAATTTGAAGATGTTTCTCAAGTTTTTGCTACACCAACTACAGGAGTATACTGAAGTACAAGATGCTGTGGCTGAATATTTTCCTAGATGTGGCTCACCAAAGCAATCGTTGCAACATACAACTGTTTCACCTACTTTATTCTTCTCAAATTTAAATAGTGAAATTGAATTTTCTGATAATGCAAGTCAAATTGGATGCATATCACCTTACTCAACTCAAGGGAATTTCATGGACTACGACGAAAATTGGGATGTTCCTTATGAGGCTTATAATCAAATTAATGATAAATCATTGAAGGGACTAATTAGTTGAAATCTTACTCGGCGTGACATTATAACTTATAATGATAAATAATGAGTACTTCCTTTTAAATACAATCTCTTTGTGACATCAACATTTCTGTTGAAAGAAAAACAAATTTAGTATGGTATAGTATTCTTTCCCTTGCAATGAAGTTCTAATATAAGCTTGCAATTTTAGGGCTACAAAACACTTCAACTTCTTGAATAGTTGCTCTTGACTCATCCCCAAAGATAGACTCCTTGCCATCTTCCCTTTTAGCATAAGACAATCCCAATCTAGACTTGGCTTGTGTCAAGTCCCCAACACCAGAATTAGTATCAGGCCCAGCAAAACCACCCATAACAGGTGCTAACGGAGGCCCAATGAGAAGCCCGTCAGCCCCGAACTGCGGCCCGCCACGAGCATAATCAAACAAAGCTGCACCACTTCCACCAACCTTAGGCAAAATGATGGGTTCATTTTGATTTTCTATCCAATAAAATAGAAATGCATCAAATGTGTCATAGTAATCATCTGTGCTTCTATATCCCTCAGGGTTAAATGCACCAAACTTGAAAGAGTTGTTTGTGTAGCCTATTATTACACATGGTCCTTTAAAGTCACAACATTGGTGGAAATTTGTTGCACTAAATCCATCAATTGATGCCCTATAGCAGCATTTTAGTTCCTTACCTGATCAAAACACAATAAAAAAAAAGCGGATAGACATGCATGTTATTACAGAGCCGTTTTGTTGGGCATGCAATGCAGGCTACAAAATTTGACACGATTGAACTATGAGTAAATAAGGCCTCATAAAATATACATCATACTTAGAGTTCAAAATTTGACCAATTGAACTGTGATTAAATAAGACCTCGTAAAATATATGTCATGCTTACACTATAGTAAATAGAGACCCTATCCGTTTCGGCACAGTTAAACTGTCGCTAACCTACACTTGACCTCCGAAAACTTAAGACGGTCTGGTTAGATAATAACAATAAAATGATTCACACTTTTTACAGTAATTAATTTGAAGAGAGAAGAAGTACCTTTCAAAAATGTTTTGGCAACCAGAGAAGTTGAGAAAGTGAGATCAATATCATGGTATTTAATTTGAGGTTTGTCATCAACTCTCTTTCTGCCTATGTTCCAACCAAATAAGCAATTTGGGCTTGTCTTCCTCCCTTGGAATGATAGAGAGTTTGATATACAAAATGCCATCCAAAGATGACCAAAACTAAGAACTATCCATCTATCTATCTAATGCATTTCCACCACTAAAACTAAACTCATCATCTTATCCATATGTTCTCTTAAAGTTATTTGCATTTCCTTTCAATAGTCAGTAATCACTCGACCCACTTCTATGGAAAGTTTGGACCACATTGAGCTTTTATGCTATTATCAATACAAAATACATTTCCTAATATTGTCAATGCAATGAGAGGACTAAGTTACTATCCAAGAAGACCTCATGAATAAGAAGTTAATTTGGACTCCTGATTATATTTACTAATTTGTTTTTAGAATAAGAAAAATAAATCAGAAATTGAGTTGTTCTCGTTAAATATAATTTAGTATAATTATTTGTATAACTCTATAACCTCTATATATACAAGAAATAATAAAAAGAAAGACATCAAACAAAAAATCAATTAATCAATCAGCTATCTAACTATTAAAGTTAAAGGCTATCAAACTATAAAAAATGTCCTTCCTTTTTAAATTAATTACAATACTAAGGATATATAAATAAATAAATTCACACTCTTTATTTAATACAATACATTTGTCAATACAAAACAACTTCTATTTTTTCAATTCTTACTCTATCTCACTTCTCTATCCACATTTATGTTTCATTTCACTTCTATTTACTTTTCTCTTTCTCTTGCATTTTTCTCTCCAATATTTTCATGTTCATTTAAATTTTTTCTCTCTCAATTTTCTATTTTATTTTTTATTTTTCTAAATATAAAAATAAATTAATAAATTGAATTAACATAATTATTCAAAAATTATTCAAAATTATTAAAAAAATTATTTTTAAATGTTAAAATTTTTACTTTTTTCACGGATCATTATTAACAAAATACCTATTTTATTTTATTTAGCATTATACTCATTTGAGATACAAATTTTTTATTTTTAAATGTCAATATTTCTATTTTTCTTATAGAAAACTATCAACAAAATACTTATTTTTCAATTAACAATTGTCTTTATTTGAAACACAAAATTCTTACTTTCAAATGTCAAAATTTCTATTTTTCTTACAGAACACTATCAATAAAATAACTATTTTATTTTAATTAATAACTATCTTTATTTGAGACACAAAATTCTTATTTTCAAATACTCAAATTAAATTTATATTATTATTATTATTCATTTTATAATTAAATAACTCATTTCAAATTTACATGTATATTTAAATAAAATCCATATCGTGTTAAATAAATTTGTAACGGGATATCAGTTAAATTAGCACAATTATTTTTTATAAATATTACTTTCAATATGCATTTGAATACAAATTTATTATACAAAATTATTTTAATCTATACAAACGCATGAATATCATTATTTTTTATATAATTATATTTATCATTCAATATTATAAATATCTAAACAAATTATATATATATATATATATATATATATATATATATATATATATATATATATATATATATATATATATATATATATATATATATATATATATATATATATATATATATATATATATATATATATATATATATATATATATATATATATATATATATCCGTGCGACAGAACGATCGTACTAGTAGTTTAATAGTTCTTAACAATACACGTTCTCTAGGCTGAGCGATGCTGAATTTCTGTTGGACATCCAGATGAACTTACAAGTGATCCAGATGTTATTTCAGCATTGAGCATTACGGGAAACTTCCAGTTTGAACCTTGCTCTCATGGTGACTTCCTTGGTTCAATTCTTGGTACAAGAATTACTAGGGAGAAACTTAAAGATATTATATTGCACGGAGAACATGGTGAATAGATAATTATTGTACCGAATCTAGTTGATTTTTTTATGACAACATTAGATAAGGTTCGAAATGTTCCTATAACTTGCACCAATTTACCATTAATTTCTCTTGATTATGAACCACCAAGAATGAAATCATTCAAAACTATAGAAGCATCACTAAGAGTTGATGTAGTAGTTAGTGCAAGACTTAAGATTTCACATTCAAAGTTAGTTGACATGGTATCAACCTCGTCAATCAAATTTGTGATTTTCTGATTCTGATCGTTTTTTCTCTATCTGAGACAATATCCTGATCGCTCCAGTTTTGTTGTTCATCGTTTCTGGATCCTTTGATCGTTCACTGTGGAATTTTTTTTGTGTAGATGTCATCGTGATTCTAGGGTTAGGGCTTCAGTTTGTTTTGCGATCCTTTCACGAATTGTGATTTTGGGTTGTGTTTGATTTTTTTTGTTGCAGTTTTGATTTTTTGTTTCTTAGATGCTTGGTTTAAGATTCTTGATCGTGATTATCTTTTGGTTCTGCCGTTTCTTCAAAATCACGGTTGCATTGTTTGTGGATTGTGGATTGTCTTGTTCATGGATTATCTTGGTTATCTTACTGTTGCATTGTTTGTGGATTATGGACTATATTGTTCGTGGATTATTTGGTTTGTTTGTTGTTGCTGGCGGTGGATTATTATTATTATTATTATTATGATAATAATATAATAATAATAATAGTAATAGTAATAAAAATTATAATAATTTATTAATTAGTGAGGTTAAATCTTGTTGCATACTAATTTATATGGCTTCCAAAAAAAGAGAGATAATTTTTGTGTTCGGTTTATCGGCAAGAATTATTCTGTTTGGGAATTTCAATTCAAGATGTAGTTAGAGGAAATAGATTATGGAGTCACTTAGATGATGTTTCTAAGGCTCCGACGGAGAAAACTGCTTTAGATGCATGAGAAACTCAAGATGCTCAAATCATCACTTGGATTCTCAACAATGTTGATCCTCAAATGATAAATAATTTACGATCTTTTCAACTGCTCAAGAAATGTGGAGTTATCTGAAACACATTTACATCCAGGACAATTCAGCAAAATGTTTTCAGTTGGAGTTAGACATATCCAACTACAAACACAAGGTGGTTTTTCTATTCAAGAATACTATTCTGGTTTTTTTAATCTCTGGACATAACACTTTGCTATTATACATGCTAATGTTCCCAAAGCCTCTCTCGCGGTTGTTCAAGAGGTCTACAACACAAGTAAATGAGATCAATTTCTTATGAAACTTCATCTTGAATTTGAGGTTGTTAGAGGTGATTTGCTCAATAGAAATCATGTTCCTTCTTTAGATACTTGTGTTGGGGAACTTCTAAGGGAGGAACAACGTCTACTTACTCAAGGAACCATGTCTCATGATGTTGTTAGTTCCAGACCTATGGCAATTTCATATGCTGCTCAAAGTAGAGGAAAGGGTCGTGATATGCAACAAGTCCAATGTTTTTCTTGCAAATAATTTGGACATTTTTCTTGCAGCTGCAGTAAGAAGTTTTACAACTATTGAAAACAACAGGGTCATATCATCTTTGACTGTCCCACACGTCCTCCCCGACCAGAACAACGTCCATCTCAAGCCTTCCATGCCACTACCAACATTGTAGTTGGTCCTCTGAGTACTGGTGCATCTACTAGTGGTGTTTTACAACCTAAAATGATTCAACAAAATGGTACTATCTGCTCATTCAGCCTTGGAATTCAGGGTAAGTTTTCCAATATTTCTCAACCATGGTTTCTTGATTCTGGTGCATCTAATCACATGACGGGTTCCTCTGAGTACTTGCAAAATTTGCATTCCTATAATGGTAATAAGCAAATTCAAATTCGTGATGGTAATAAACTATCTATCACCGATGTTGGTGACATAAACTCTAACTTTCGTGATGTGCTTGTATCACCCGGACTTGCTTCCAACTTATTGTTAATTGGTCAAT